GTAGGGAAATGCCAGTTTCTGACAGGGCTGCAAAATACTCTGTCCTGCATATCCTGCTGTTACACGCCCATATTACAGGTCCAGTCTCTTCTGCAAGATATGCCAGAGCAGGGGCATGGTAGTTGCTGGCAGACTTTAACACTGGAGCCCCCAGTTTTGCAAAGTACTTGAGCATTTTTTCACCATGTGTACTCTGTACACCAGATACTGGACACCAGGTGTTCTCTGTAGCAGAACACTTCTGCAGGAACATGAGGAACCTAAATGAACTTTTCAGCTGAACCTAAATGAATGTATTTTGCTATATAGGAATGGACCAGTGCTGTGATGAATTAAACTGTTAGCATTCTAGACCAAGGATTTAATGCTCAGCCTGATATATGATGGGAGCCAGTGTTTGCGCCTGTTGAATGAAAACGTTACCATAGTCTGTCATGAACTAGACTTTGGATTGTGGTAATTATTTTTTGAGCTCAGTTACACTGCACATTGGCATCAGAAAGAGAACTTGAATCTGTCTGGTTTGGTTTGGTTTGGTGCAAAACACGGTTATCATTTTAGCATATTATAAGCTGGATGTGTTTGCACGCAGGATGGAGCTTCTGCAACTTTCTTGGCAGCACAAGGAGGCTATCTGGATGTCATCCGATTGCTGCTGTCTTCAGGAGCGAAGGTCAACCAGCCACGGCAGGTAATGTTCAACACTACCAGAGCAGAGCTGGGGTCAAACTGACAATCTTCTACTAAAAATTAACCCTGGGATTTTCATGGGGCATCAGGTTCCCGAGGTGGATGGTGGCTGTGCCTGCATTCTGTTTGAGCTCAGATCAGGAGTGTCATTGAAGTGAGTCACCCAGTCCTTTCTGCTTACATGCAAACTAGATCTTTTATAGAGGAAATGAAACTGGAAGCCCCAGTCCAGGTGTGCACCAAATGCACTTCACATCCAGAAGGGGATCAAACCTCTGACACGTCCTTTGGACAGCTTTGAACTACACGCACAATGGACGTTTGGGCCATGAGACCAGGCTAAATCAAAATAAAACCCTCAGGCTGCATATAGTGTTGATGTAGGGGCCTTGCGCTAGCTCTCCCAACTACTGATCTGCTCCTATTGTGTCAACTTCCCTGTGAATGTGCACGCAGCCCACAAGGTCCTGGGGTTCTCCTGAAACTCCTGTCTGGGAACTCCAGGGAGAGACAGTGCCAGATTCAGTATACTGAAATTATACAGCATCAGCTTCAGAATCAAAGTTAATCTTTGATGAAACCTTCTCTTTTTTTACTTTTAGTTTTACTTTTTTAGTTTTACTTTATATCATCCACATGCACCCTGAAACTCAGGCATGAGTCGTACCTTCATCTCTGGAAGAACCTGATGTACGTGAAAAGCTTTGCTATCCCTGTTTGCAGTTAGTTACTCTAGTCGGCCTGATCCTGCAAACGCATAAGACAAGTAGCAACTGTAAGCACAAAACCAGCTCCTCTATAGGTAGTGGGCCTGCCATTTGAACATTAAATGTTAACGTATGCGCTAGATTTGGGGCTGATTCAGAGGTCCTTGCACTAAGAGCTAGATTCCCCTTGTGTTGCTGTATCTTGTTGATGTATTAAGACAAAAGAGACTTCCTGTATTTTAAACTAAATAAGGGATACATAAGCATACATGGTCTACAGAGACACGTGTAAAAGCTTTCTTGGTTTCGAAAAAAGGGATCCTTAACTGTTTGGTTACTCGTGAATCTAAACTCAGGGCTCAAACAGCACATTTAGGTGCTGCTTTGAGTAGGCAGATGTGGGAGTTGCCCATCTAACTTAAAAACTCTTGGCACTTGGAAATATCTGGTTAGACATGGGGCGTCCCAGGAACCTTTGCTTACCCTGAGAGAGCCTCCCCTCTGGGCTGCTGAAACCCTGCAGGCAAGGTAGCTGCCCTGAGACGTCACTGCACATTTTAAATTGAGAGGATAAGGTCTTGTTCTTGCAGTCAGTTGCCTGCATCTGCCAGATGGCTGTCATCACTGATTGCAGCAGCTAAGAAATCAGTAGGCAGGAAAAAGGTGAGTCAAATAAAATGTGAGGGCTCTAATAACAGAGGACAATATGGCATGTGACCAACTTCACCAGTTATTTTCAGTAATTTCTTTCCTCCACCGCAAAGAGCCTGACAACTCAGAGCCAGGCAGCAGAGATTGATCTGTATGAGTTCAGTGGTTCCTTTAGGTCTGCGTAGTTTCTCTGCTGCTCCTTTAGCATAAGGAAACTGTATTAGGGATTTGTGAGCCCCAACAAAAGCCTTTGTCCTGCTGCATCTTCCTCCTCCTATCTATCACCAGAGCCGTGCTGGCAGGGAGGGAAGTTGGCAGCTACTCCCTGGACTGATGCTTCAGTTGCTCGTAGGCTGCCTCCACACTGTCTCCCTGACTTTGCCTAGATGAAGACACAGAAGTACTGTTAGGAGCTCTTAATTAATATAGTCTAAAAACAATATAGGAGTGTAGGTCACTGTATGATTTAATGCCTGTAGAGTAGATCAAAGTAAAGCTGGGGGAACTCAACCAGTTTAGCCCGCGTCACTGTAAGAACTGCATTCTGTTCGATAACCATTTAAAATTCTGTAATTATAATGCACCAGCTAAATCTTTCTAAGAGTATTTTTTCGATCTCTAATACAATTTCTATAATACAGTGTTTCATTTCATAATGCATTTTTAAATCTTAGCTGAGGCAAAGACTCTACATTGTATGAATGCTCTTTCTGGCTCTGTTTCATCTCCAGTAGTCTAGGCTTAGTTTGCCTCCAAGTACTGCCAATCTCTGCTAAGATTATGCCTGGATAAGTCGGTGGCATTTATATGTGGATGTTGTATTTGGGCTCCCTGTAATCTGAAACATTTCCTAAACAAACGGAACATTTTAACCCAATGAACTAGTGAAGTAATGGTTGGATGGACTTCAGTCTCTTACTGACCAAAAAATTCATCCTTTGTTCAAAGGTGGGATGTTGGTCATAAGGAATGTCAGCCTCAGCAGCAGTTTCTATGCCAGATGACTCTGTTGCTGCCAGTTACAAACTACAATGCTGTTACTGCTGTAGAAATTTTTTCTAAGTCATGTTAGGTTGAATACAGGGCTGGCCCTAGCTTCAGAGCTCCAGATAGGAATTCATGCTTCTGTTTCGTCATAGCTGTCCAGGTCTTCTCTCCATCTTGTTCTTGTGAATTTGAGGGCTTAATTCACTTGCCTGACCATATGTATCTACGCTGTATGTCTCCTCCTGCTGCTCCAGCAGGGTACCAGGTCCCCTTCGGTCTTGTGTCCTATCTCCCAGTCCCATGGGGTTGCTTCTGATACCTGGGAACATCTCAGATGGCACCAGTTCTCTGTGTGCAGGCCCTTTATCACAGCTGTCACAAGACTGAATAGTGAAGCTTTTGATGAGCTTCTTCCCTGGCAATGTCATTTCTCTCAGTATTTAACCTTCTTCTGTTCTTTCTGACATTGCGACAGGCCTTCGCGGAGTGGTGTTGGCATTCTTTTGTCATCGTTTCGTCTAGACAGAGCTCTGGGCAGTGTCTGAAGCCTGGTGCAGGCTGTGCTGCTTTGCTTCCCTAACTCGAAAACAAAGCAAGAAGATTGACGGCCAATGAATTTTACGCTGTGTTTTAGCCTGTGTCCCAGGAGGCTTTAGTCTGAATGGCTTGGCAGGTCCAAAATAATCTGAAAATTAATGTTTTTTTCTTTACAGATGGTATGCACTCACACATATATGTAAGCCAGTAAACCTACAGAGATTGTAGAGTAAGTCAAGCACGCAGTCTCTTATTAGCAAGATTTCAGTTGGTGCACTGGTGCTAGTGGGCTGATGGGCAGCACAGCAGAGGTGTGGACACCCAGCAGCCTGAGAGCTGCAGTGGGAATTCAAGGGACATCTCAACTCCTGCCTTAATTTGGCCCTTTCCAAGACAGCAGCAAATATTATGAGATTCAAAGCCACAAAGCAGTGTCTTTAGTTAATCGGTAAGAGAAGGAATAGCATCAATTTCAGTGAAGGCATGTTTGGGACCGTTGGGCATAATGAGACATAGTTCATATCTAGTAACTTGCGAAAAATAAGGAAATAAACATAGTTTAAAAACAGATGGGGTATTTAACATTGTTTATTCTAGGAATGTAATGGTCTGCAGGTCTGCTGGATGGGCAGAAGGACAAGAGAAAAAAAGTACTTCTTGAACTCTTCTGATCATTAGACGGCCAGAAACTGCTTCATCCCCTGGGCTTATTTGCTTCCTGGCTTGTCTCTGTGCCCTAATAGCTGTTTACATGACCTCTTAGTACAATGTAGTATCTCTTTTGCATTATATATCAACATTAAAATGGACAGAAATCTCATCTACTCCATACAAATATTCCATACTGTTGGATAAACCTGCCTAATAAATGTTGTTTGTTTAAGGGAGAGAAGCTGACATTCGTCAGTGTGAGCTCACCATCATCTCCATCATCTTTCTTCTCTTTAGGCTGAGTTCTCCAAGATGGTCACTCTTTCCTACAGTGGTTTTTTTTTTTTTTTAACTCTTCTGTGGTTGTGTAGTAGATGGTAATAGCAATACTATTAAGGGTAGTTAATGATAACAATGGTGTTGTTCAACACTAGTAGCTCAACATTTCTGCTTCTTTTCATTCATACCTGAAAATAAGAACTGCTCTTATAAACTTCACTGTGGATAAAAGAGAGCTGCTTTTTTTTTTTTTTTGCATAAATAGAACCATGGATTTGTACAGGGCTTCTTCATGCAGATTTAATTGTGTCATGGGTCTCAGGTATTTTCCAAGTTTTTATAAGCTTTTTCAGCGTTCCTCTTCCTATTTGCTGGAGCCCTCTGGTGGAGGAAGATTTGAAAAGTAATCAACTGTCAACTTAACTGACAGGGAAGACACTGTATGTTGGCGAGGGACAGTTTTTGCCATCACACTACTGTCACACGTTCTGTATACAAGAGGCTCTTTCAATGTTATTTTTAAATCACAAAGAGAACTCATTGTATTAACATGATATTTGCTGGAATGAGGTCAGTCAGTGAGTTCAGTGAGATCATTTATGGAGAATTGATGCAAGAGTGGGCAAAGATCCTATTCACCATTTGTGAAGACTGAACCTCAGTGATCTCAGGATGTACATTTGCCCTTTCACAGAATCAGAAAAACAGAAATCTAGACTATATCAAAGATTATATTCTATCTATATCTTGTTTGCTTCTTCCGGTGGATTAAATCGCTAGCCCATAGAAAACAGAGAGCTGACTTAACAGTGGTTTTGGATAGCTTTAGCAAGTGCTATGAATCTTCATTTGGCATCTCTACACAAGAGAGATTCCCATTTCTTCATCTCTACACAAGAGAGATTCCTTCTTTGGTCAAGGTGGAAATATTTTATTAAAAGCTATTTTCTTTTGACATTTCTTATTAAGGCTCTTCTGAAAATCTTTTGAAATATATTTCCAATTACTTTTTCTTGTCAAGTCTAAAGTCAGCTGAGGGTGAGCAGAAAAACAGGCAAGCCGCGAAGGCAGTAGCAGACGGCCTGCTACTTGAGGCCTCGTTTTTGTTTTAAAGTCCTTATAGGCGAAGCCTTTTGTTAAAGGCCCATGAAAATCAATCTGGCACCCCAGGAGTGCTGGAGTCTTCTTGTAGTTTTGAGAATCAGGCCATTTAGAAACAAAATGCGGCAAAAGAAACAAAACTAAATTCTAACTGCAGCAACAAATACTTCTAATGCTTCAGCTCACCTTTGCATTTGGGATGGAAATACATCACAAAGTTCAAATCATTTTGAATGCCTGTGTTTTCTGACTTTTTCTGCTCAAATAATGATTGTCTAGAACTTTTTTTTCCAAACCAGACTGTCTCCTGCCTTGTTTTCTAGTGGAGCTCTTGAGGCTAAAATTTGTGAAGTACTCACCATAACTGTAAAGCAGGACATTTTTACCAGATTCCTTCACGTTGAAAGCTGCTGATCATCCTTAGCTTCTATACCCCTCTGCCATTTAAAAGGTGCACGCACCCAGAATTTGCCCATGCATGGCTTGAGCTTTACCCGCGTCTTTGTCACGTCTAGTCACCTAGAGTTTGAACTACATAGGATACCTCTGGCCTTTACATTTCAGGCTTCGCTATGTATTTCAGGCACAGTTGGATGAGCAAAAGAGGGCTTTAAGTGTTCAAACTGCAATGCACATTTCAGGCATTGCAGCTATGCAAGAGGAAATAGCGAAGATGCCTCTAACCCCACAACAGGGAAGGTTCTGACTTGATACACTGACTTGATACAGCTCCCACATGCTTTTGGAAGTGCGTTTGCATTTGCCTGTCTCTGATGGCAGTTGGGTTTTATGGAGGCATTGAAGCTCATCCATTCCAGTAGGCAAACTCTGATGGTGAAACACCAGAGGGTAGAGGGTCTCAAGGTGAAACCCTTAGCAGTCTGACTTTTTTTGAAGGATGGGACGGCACCCTTGTGGATTGCATCGCAGATGGGTCACAGTGAAGTGGTTCGGGTGATGCTGCTCCGGGGAGCTGAGCGAGACGCTGCACGGGATGTGAGTAGCGCTTCTTCCCATGCTGTAGCTGCACTTGACACTTCCTAGCTTTTTTTGAGGCCGCAAGGTGGTGTGCATGGAGGCCCAGTGTCCCTGAAGTTTGTTCTGTTCACCAGGTTGTAAAACTCCTCGTAAGCCACAGGCTCCCTCTTTCCTTTTGTCTCTGGGACAGCTTCCTGGAAGGCCCTCCTGGAATAAGGGATGGCAATGTCCCTATAAAGGAGAGATGGAGATGATACGTGAGGTCACTGGTTAATTTCTCCCTGAGACCTTCACCTGTCGGAGGAACTATCCTCCAGACACTTTAAAAGCAGCAGCATATGCTGGGGAGGTGCCTCCTCAAAGACCGTGAACCCGCTTGCAGGGGTGCGGGGCAGAGCTGGTGTCTCCCTCCAGCCAAGGGGAGCGCAGGTAAAGCATTTGTAATACCTGAACTTATCTTCCCCTCTCTTTTAAAGGATGGTACAACTGCTTTACTGAAAGCTGCCATTAAAGGATACAACAATGTGATAGAAGAGTTATTGAAATTCTCTCCCACACTTGGCCTGCTGAAGGTTAGTAGTGAAATATCTAGATTTTTTACACAGAAACACAGGAAGGCAAAGGGTCTGATGTTATGACTATGCAACTGAAAGACAATAAAGAGCTTCAGTCCGGAGAGGTCAAGGGAGACCTGAATTATCTTGTTTAGCCTTTAATGCTACACACAAATAAATCTTTTAAAAAAATATTGTGATGTTGATTTTTGGAGTAAGAAAGCACATTGTGTTGTGCGAGGAATTCTCTTTTGCTTTCTGACATCTGATTTTATTTCTACAGTAAACAGACTGCTCTTGATGATGCAGTTTTTAACATTATACCCTGCTCTCAATTGCATTTAGTCAGCAAAATAGGATTCTAAGAGATCTGTTGTGAGTAATTCTCTACTTGATTTTGTTTTCTTCTGAATTAATACCGTGACTTCAAAAATAGCAGTAGACATTTGGAAACTGCTTTTTAATAGCTGACCTAATTTCATGTACCCATAAATCACACACTTTTATAGCCTCTGTAGATGCAACTAACTGTACTTGAAAATGCAGGTGGCGTTAACTTAGTTGATAATTACAATTATGAAATAGCTTCCACACTTATTTGAACTGCCAGTTCTGCAGCTGCAAACAAAAGGCCAAGCTATAAAAAAATAACAGTCCAGCTCTCTGACATTCAGATCATTAATCAGCAGAGAAAGGAAATAAAGTGCACAGATGGTTTCCATTACTGCTTGTGCTTCTGTTTCACTTGCTAATGGCTGAGTTTTGCCAGGCGGAAGCAAATGCCGTGTTTACTTCACCTCTAATCTATTGACAAATGTAATTTTAAAAGAAAATATTACTCTGGTAAAGTGGACCTGACCTTCATGTGTGTTAAAGCATTTAAAATCACCTCCTTCACTGCCCTCTAGCCTGCCAGCACCCTATCGAAATGATAATCAGATGCTATATCCTTAATGACCTAATTTCTTCCATGTTATTTCTCTCCTGTTCAAAGATGTTTTCTTTGCAGGTGCTTTGGTTTCATTGCCTTCTGATTTCTTCCTTTTACATGCATCGTGCAAATGTCTCTGTCGCTTTTTTCCAGAACGGGACCACTGCTCTCCACGCAGCCGTTCTCAGTGGCAACGCCAAGACGGTAGCTCTGCTATTAGAGGCAGGAGCGGACCCGTGCCTGAGGAACAAGGTACGTGCTGGCTCACCACGCTGGGCAGGGCGACAGCACCAACCTTTGGAGCCGGACTTTTTATATAGGCTTCACCTTTGGGGTGGTGGTTTGCAATTGCACCCTGATCTCTCCTGAAGACTCATCATCCTGACCATTAGTTTCTGTTTACAGGCATTTATAAGCGTGCCAGACAGTGCCACTGGCAATGCTGGTGCGTGTGACGTAAATGTCAGTCTGTGAATAACCGGGAATAATACTATGCTCTAATTACCTTTGGCCTCACAGATGCAGTGGCTAGCTATAACTCATCATGGGCTAGCCAGATTGCATTTTAGGGAAACAGTAATCTGTTGCCGTTCTTGATCAGTCATAAATTTTATCAGTGTCTCATGTAACAGATGTGTAAGGAGGATATGCCCAGGTAAGAGAAATGTATACATGGGTGCCTTTGGTGAGAAAATTTGATTACATTTCTGATATAAAAAAAAAAAAGACTTCAAAATTACGTGCATCATTCCCATATTTTATTACAAATCTGTTGAATCACTGAAATAGTTCATAAACACAGCACGGAGGAAGACATTTTCGCAGAAATTTTGAACATTAAAATACTTTGCAGAATAAAGGAAAGGATAAATTTCCTGCAGACAATTCGCAATCATTAAAAGAAACTGAAACTATTTGCTGCATGTATTTGATTTGCAGGTGGGTTTGTTAAGTTGTGAATGGATGATGTGGTATTTGTTTCTGTCTTACGATTGGATGAATGAAAATTTGTAAAGCAAGTAATCCAGCATATTAAAGCATATTTTGGTCATTTAATATAAAATCTGTGCATGTTGTTTCTGTATTGTTCCACTTGATGGCAGCAGAGTTAACTTCGCTAATATAGCAGTTTATTATTGTATTAACGTCATACCTTTTGTTTTCATACTGTCATACAATGTGTAAGGTTTTTGCAGAGGGAGGGTGTGTAGTATAAAAATGTCTTGGGTTAGAAGTCTCTTCTATTGAAATTTTTGGAAAATGACATGCCATTTAGCCCAAGAGGGTGCATTTGCGAAACAAAAATACTGATTTTCGGAAGTAGCTTCACTATAAGTATTTTCTATTACCAAGACTGTATTCAATAAATATAAAAGACCACACTCTCTGATGTTCTATTACCTGTCCTACAGAATAGCACTGACTATTTCATAGCAGTAGAAATCTTTCTTTGGATTTTTATGGACTTTGGTACGTAAAGAGGTGCCTCATCTCCCACAGATATCAACAGCAATGTTCTCTTTTAATTTTGTGGCTGTAGCAGAGGGAGCCCAAGGGATATCATTTAGCCTAGGTAGTCAGCACAAAACAAGCTGCCCACCGGAGTCCTATGCTAGAATTATCCTGAAGACTGAAGAGATACTTGCACACTGTGGAGGAAGGTGACTTTTTAAAGCATCTCCACTGCCCTTCTCTAATACTGGAGCTGATTTAAAAGAACGGTAGCACAGGATGGTGGTGGAAATAACATTGAAACAGGCATTTTATTATTGTGTCTAGCACTGTTTGTTTTCTCCAGAGCTTTAACGCTTTTAAACCATGTTTGAAAATACTCTTTCAGCTTTGCTAACCACAAGGCTTTTTGTTCCAGGCAAATGAGCTGCCAGCAGAACTCACAAAAAATGAGCGCATCCTCCGACTCCTCCGCACAAAGGAAAAGCAGAAGAAAAGCTCATGCAGCTCTTTAGCAAATGCAGTTTGACAGAGATGTACCCTGTCCAACGCTAGCATGAAAGTAAACCTAGCCCGCCTGAGCAGAGTTTGTTGGATCAGTTTGCAGAATTGATTAGCCTCTCCACTCTACGCCCCGCGGACGCGGGAGACCTTTGCCATAGTGTTGCCGCGCACGAAGGACTCCACCTGGCACCGTTGAACTCTGAAGGACTGCAATGAGAGCAGGATTTGGCCTGAAAGCTGTGTCTGCACTACAGCCCTGACGATACTCCAGGATCCCACCGGTCCCAGCACCAATGTTAGCTCCTCCGTGCCCGCGGCGTGCGCATCCCCGCGCACACAGGGGCTCCCGCCGTTTCGGACACGCACTCCCTAACAACATGGCTGCACACCTGCACGGGGTCCCTGAGAGCACCTCGGGCACGTGCCGAAGGGGCGCCCCAGATCTCACAACAGTTTGGATTCGTTCAGTCCTGGACCAGCCCCACAGTGCTGCCCTCACTTCACTGGCACTGCCAGCTTTGTCGATTCCTCCGAAACCCCAAGTGCCACATGAGGCTGGAGGTGACATCCCACTGATGATATCCCTATGGGAAAAGTCCTCCTGCCAGCCCAGGGCTTTGATAACCTTTTGCTTCCTAAATGGAGCTCCATAAAATGATCCAGAATATTACGAATTATGCCAAAAGCTGCCAAATGAATAATAGCAAGGTTGTTTCCTCCTCAGTGTAGCACCTGGATCTATCGCTCTGTGCAGCAAGAGATAGCGGGGCAGTTGGCAGCAGTTTGTAACATGTAACTAGCTCTGTGGGATGCATCCTCAGCCCTGCAGTGTTTGCATGAGCATTTCCATGCGCCAGGGAGGACCGGTTACTGAGCAAACCAGCCAGAGCATATCATTCACTGGCACAAATACTCCAGAAACTCGGCCGTCAGACACGACAGTGCAGATGCTATGCAAGTATCTGATGTACATTCTCCACACACATATATGTGACACTATGGTTTAGTATCCACAGCCACTATGCAACGCGGTTGTTCCTGAGGACGCTGATTGGGTATAAAGAAGTGCGCAGTATACAGGTGTTTCAACAGCTGGTGAGAGCATTACATGTAGCCACACTCTAGAACAGGCCCATTAATTAATACAGGCATGGAAAATGAACTCAATAGCAGTTTTGGCCTTTGTGGTGGTTGAGATGCTTAAAATAGACATGGTTGTTACTAGTGCCTGTGTTGGAAAGGCAGTGCAAGTTGTTAAGGTTTTGCAAGGAGCTGTGTTTCGACTATGTTGCTGTAACACACTCCATCAATCCCAGTAGCTTCTGCAGTATAAATATATACTAAGTCTTGTTAGCCACAAACACATTAGGGATTATTGTTCCATACAATGCTAGTTCAGTACACAGATTCAGGCACTTTACCTGCCTCCAAACTGTGGCAAGTTACTGAAAAGTTGCTTAAGAAATTGAGGACAAAGAAGATTGTGAGGGAACGTAAAATGTTCCCCGTTTAAAACATGTCTGTCTAGGCTTCAGCTGAATTGTGGTGCTTTTGCTTTGGGAAGTCAAAAAAGAAAATTAGTGAGCTAGTGCAAATTAATGTAGTTTACTTCCATGCCAATTAGCCATATCTATTTTCTGTGAGTAAGTTACGTAAGAAATCATGGTTCTGATGAAGAGAACAGAAGTGGACATACCTTTGCTCACGAGCTACGATTGCTATTGAATGTCTATTCAGCATTAGAAAGGAAAACTTTAAGTTTTCCAATGACAATATAAGGATACACCAGAAAAATCTATTTGTTAAAGTAATTCACACTGTTGTATTTTTAAATTAAAATAATGTTGCACCTAACTGAAACTTGCAGACAAAGTGGTATAGAACCAAAGAATTATGCAAGTGCTGAGAGGATGATAGTATTTAGGGTATGTAGGTTTAATTCCACAAAATCCTGAGCATGCAGAAGTCTCAAGAGCCTTATTGGGAACTTAAGTTGCACATCATTTTACCGGACTAGACTCTAACTTCTTTATCAAACAACACTGGAGAAGGCTTGGTCCTTCTCCCTTGAGTTTCTTCAGATCAACAGCTGGAAACAACCACACTCTTCAGATGAACAGCTCTTTCAGTTGTAAAGCAGGAGGATAAGGTCTTCAGTAGCCAGACATGCCGAGTGAGCAATAAATACTCTCAATATCAGATGGGTTGTAATGATCAAGCCGTCCTCCCAGAGAAATGTAGAGGCATCCACTGTTGGTTAAGGTCCCCTATTTTTTCTTGATGGCAGAGCACAGAAGAGAGGATAGGGAAAGCCAGCAGCGGCCCCGTGATGGCTGGAGTAAGCAAATTGAGATAGCAACATTCAGGTGGCTGCAGGCTGCTGCTTCCGTCTGCCAGGACGTGGCATGTTTTCTTGTGAGAGTGGTCTCACCCAAGAGAGGCAGCTACTCAGCAGAGGGTGTCTTCTTGAACTATGCCTGTCTGTGAGAAAATGCATGTCTGCTCCCTGCCACTTACAGTAGGACTTTCTAAGTCCTGTCTCCAGTTGCCTCCATGACTGGCTACCGCAGCCTGGGCTCTAATGCAACAGGTGAACATCTGGGATGCCAGTTCCCATAGGGAGGCCCTGCCGGCCTTCTTCTAAATGGGTAGCATATGCTAGTACTGGGAGGACAGAGTTACCAGGACCCTTTTTTTGGAGCAACATTGGGCTATAACTGGCTTTTTTTTCTTTCTAAACAGAATTTAAAATGTGGGGCTAGCACAGGTTGAAGGGAGAGGCCTGTAGCTCCCTCTTCAGTCTCAGTGCTGGCAGATGTGTGATGCACAGGTGGACAGCAGTGCCTGGTAGCAAAGCCTCACTCTGCAGTGTTCAGACTGAAGCTGAATCTGGCTCTAGTTACGAGAATATTCAGCCTGCTTGGGAGTTTTAGGAAGGGAGGCCTTCCCACTATTGGGAGTGTTTCTTTCCTCTCAGAACCTTTGAAGAGAGGGCTGTTTCTGGCTTACAGTGCTGTGTAACCAAAAGGTGCTTATTCTGCCTGTCAGCGGGCTTGGAAGTTGCAATACCATTTCTCACCATGCAGTTAACCTTTTCACAAAGAAACCTTAATAATTCTTAGTGTTTACGTAGCCACCGTCATCTTTAAAGTGCTCAGTAAATATCACTGTGGTTTGTTTGTTGTTCCAAAGAGGAAGCCTGCTTTTCCTTCTTGGCTTAAGTGATTCATTAATATTAACAGTAGTTCTGTGCATAGTTGTAGTGCCTTTTGCGCAAGGCTTTCAAAGCGCTCTACAGACACTATTAGCTTTGCAAGTTCCAAAATACATTTCTGAAGGGGCGTAGGGAAATATATTATTTCAATTGCACACCAGTGAAATGCAGCAACTGTTCATCAGTTCATGTCAACAGAAGAAAAGAGTAAATCGAGGCCAGAAATGAAGGGGCACCAAATCCATTTCATAGACAGCAGGATAGCACGTAGCACGTAATGACATGAAATAGAACTAGAATAGGAAAATTGGCCAAAGTGTTTTTTCAAAACGTGCCATATATACATATATTTCACACAAACACAGCAGCTCCAGTAGCACAGTGCTTTTAGGCTGGCTTCTCTGCATGTTAAAATCCAGGCGCCCAGCCTACCGTCTCCTCTGCCTGAGACTTACTTACGCTGGTCCTGTAGCCTGGTAATTTCCTATCAGCTGCAAGTGCGTGTAAAGTATGTGCAAGCAAGAACAAGTTACATGAGTCAAGGAAAAGTACAGAGCATCATTCCTTTATTTCATGGATATCGAGCCATTGTAGGATGGGGACAAGCGCAAGGGAAGGCCAGTGGCGGGTAGAGAAGACTCGTATCCCATCAGTGACATGGCAGTGGTGTAGCCTTAGAGCTCACAGATGTATGGAGCTCTTCATTTAAGGTAGTTGTGCTGTAGTGCTACGTGCAGGGTGATGTATTTTGATACAAAAGGCAGTCTTGTACTTCCTGACTTAATGCCACTCCTTGCACATGCTATTCATTCCTTGGAGTGAAAACATCTCACTATAGATCCAGCCACCTTTGTTTAGTTTAGAAGACTAGAGAGGACTAGTGCACCAAATCAAGCAGCTACAGGTCATATGTAATGCACTTTATTAGAAACAATGATTATTTGTCTCAGAGTCAGGGCCTAATTGCAAGAATAATTCATACTTCCTTATTCATCCAATCATAGTGACTATTGGGAAATCCATAAATAAGCCAAATCTCATGTTGTCTCAGTAATTTCAGAACTGTGGTACAGAAAATGAAGTAGCACAAAAACTAGCCCATTTGTATTTCACTTAACATAAACACTGAACAGACATAAAATACTGTCTTTGTTTGGAAGCCAGTGGTGTTAAATGTTAATGTATGCTAAGAATTCAACCAAAGATTATTCACATGGCTCTTTTCTCCAGCAATGCAGTATTGTATTGCACATATGGGACTAAATGGAGTTGTGCCTTCTCACAGCAGCTCTGCATTTGGTCCTTGGAAATTTCATATTAGTTTCATACTTTTCTGAATTCCATAGTTTCCTTTGACCTACCCTTTATGCATTTGATAATATCTATATAAATTTTATGTAACTCAATGTCAGATTAATATTCTACAACAGAAATGTTGCTTTGCTAAAACACATTTTCCATATCATCATTCCAATAAAAAAGAATATACTATTCAGATTATCCTAATTGTCTGCATACTGCAGTGTCTTTTTCCCTTCCTCCACGTTCTATTCTTTCCCTTCGTAGAATACTAGAATTAGTTTTCTATTTTCTATTTACATTAAGACGATGTTGTTCTATTCCATTTGATTCATTAGACCTTTATTATTTTTCAGGTCTTTAGATGAGATAGTATTCACAAAACAAATAAGGCCAATGCCCTAGTTGAAAAACGGGAAGACTTAATTTAGCATGACATAACAAGGTTTGTTTCAAAGATCTAGATGTCACTGACAGACTCCCTTTGACATTAATGTCCATTAGGTTAGATCTGAAGGGAAGATTACACACAGGCAATTTAGGAACCAAGAGGAATAAGAATGTACTTTTGTTCAGTTAGTCAAATATATCTTGATAGTTCAGTTACTATTCTTAAAGCTAAAACTGACCTTTACACTGATCTGACCTACTTCAGTTAAATGTCTACACCCTTCTGATACACTTACTACGGTATGCAGTAGATTATGCTCATTATAAAAGGGAAAAAGAGTCTACACTGCAAACTTTATTTTGACCTTGTCTTTGACATCACAGGCCTTTTGCCTTATTACCACAATTTTCTGTTGTGATGAGCTGCATTTTGAGTCAACGTCAAATATTTCTACAGTCACAATTCAATAAAGCATTTCCATCTATTCAGTTTCTCAAGAGAAAGTGGTGTGACTTGTTCATGGCCTAAATCACAGAATCACAGAATCACAGAATCACAGAATCGTTTAGGTTGGAAGGGACCTCTGGAGATCATCTAGTCCAACCTCCCTGCTCAAGCAGGGTCTCCTAGAGCATATTGCCCAGGATCACATCCAGACGGCTTTTGAATATCTCCAGGGAAGGAGACTCCACCACCTCTCTGGGCAACCTGTTCCAACGCTCTGTCACCCTCACAGTGAAGAAGTTTTTTCTCAGGTTCAGATGGAACTTCCTGTGGTTCAGTTTGTGCCCGTTGCCTCTTGTCCTGTTGCTGGGCACCACGGAGAAGA